GCCCACAAATGCCACCAGGTCCCTGACACCTCCCCTGTCCCCTCCCCAGCTGCTGGAGGCGCTGGTGGTCATGGTGGCTACCCTGGCCGAGGTGGCAGCCGCTGTGACCGGGTCACACAGGGACGTGCGGCAGCGCGTGTCCCCAGAGTCCCTGAACGCCGTCCTGAGGAGATTCAGCTGGCACCTCCATAGGACCCTGGGCCATGGCGGTGTCCCCTCCCTGGGCCAGGCCCTGGCCGCCCTTGGGGCCAGCCCAGAGGCCACCTGGGCCCATGTGAGAGCCACAGGCAGTGCCTGGTGGGAGTCGGTGGCCGCGCAAACAGAGAGCTGGGAACGGCTGAGCAGGGAGGCTGCTGAGCTCCGTGACGCCTGCAAGGACATGGCCAATGCCGAGCCCACCATTGAGGCCACCACCCGGGCCGGGGACCCGTGGGACGAGGCCACCCGCAGGGGGACAGCTGGAGACAGCCTGGCAGCCATGGCCCAGCAGCAGATGGTGGCCCTGGACAGGCAGGAGGAGGCCTTGTTGGGGGCTGCGCACGAGGCCCAGGAGGCTGCGGCCACCAGTGAGGGCATGGGAGAGACTGTGGTGGCCACCAGCCAGGCGAGGGTGGCCACCAAGAGGGGACATTGGCCAGAGGTGGCCCTGGGGCTGCTGCAGCACTTGGTGGCCACGTGTGACAGAGCCAGGTTGTTCCTCTCGGAGCTGCAGCGCCGGCTCGGGGCCATCAAGGCCACCCTGTGATGTAGCGTGTTCATTAAGTTCATTTAATTCCTCCCCCATTTTATGTATCTGCTCCCCCCCATTTTGTGTAAAATGGTTCTGCCCTCCTCAGTTTTCCCGCCACAGCCCTGCCAGTTATATTGTCAATCTGTTAGGTTATACAATTCCTCCTCCCCTTTTCCCCTTATATGTATGCTTTTTCTCCTCCCTGGGCCAAGTCAATCACCCCCCACTCCACCTAGTATTCCAGAAGCTTCTCCTCTTTGGGGGTTGTGGTTGGCTGTAGTCCCGAGACCCCTCCCATACCTGGTACCTATTGGGCTCTCCACTATGTCATTTGTGTTAAGTTCATCCCCTCTTCTTCCCCCATTGGTCTTCTGTAAACCCCTCCCAGGTCCACTCCTTCCCTTTAAAACCCTTAAGCACCCTTTGTTCTTGGTCATTCGCTGGGACCTCGTGGGCTTTCCAATAAACCAAGTTTAGCCCCCCCCCGGCAAGTGTCCAGCTCCTTCATTCTCGTTGTTTAGCAGCGATCCAGTCTGCAACCAGCACAGCCCGAGGCCTTACGACGCCGAGGGGTGCTGGCAGGTTATGCAGCGAGGTGTCGGCCTTAACCTCAGCTAGCCGGACTCTGACCTTCTCTGCTCTAGAAGGCTAAATACACACCGCTGCAACCCTAGAGGAGACAGAGGAGGTGTACCCCTATATCCCCAAGGCCTTGGCGGCCAAAGTGGCCAAGTTTGAGCAGCTGTGGAGGGCCAGCTCGCACCTGTTCATGTGTCACCTGCTGGGGACACTGGGGGACATCCACAATCTCTTCTTGAGTCCCTATGGTGACCCAGGTGATCCCAGTGGCCCCGGCAGCCGCACGGTGGCCGAGCAGTGCCAAGAGCCATTGAGGACATCCCGAGGCTGCTGCAGGGATAGTGATGTCACAGCTGTGATGTCATTGGGGCAGTGACATCATCAGGGACATGGCTGCTGTCACCTGTGCCCTCCCTGCTTGGGATTGGAGACAAATTTGGGCAATTTTCTGGGAATTTTCATCGAAGTTGTCCGAAATCCTGATGGGAATTCCTGGGGTGACGTCACTGGGGACACTCAAGGGCAGAGAGGGACACTCTGGGGACACACAGGGACAGGGACAGGGGTAAATGAGTCCCCTCAAGAACTTCCAGCTTTGCGTCGTGCCTGCAGCCCAGTTGGGTCATAAATGACAATTTAATAATTGCCTTTTGCAATTATTAAATTGTCATTTATGACCCAAAGGCGTTTTTGTATTGCCTTTTGCGCATTGTTATTGATCACCAGCAATTTGATACGGTGTTTGATACTGATATTGATTATCGGTGATTCCTTGTAGCTGCTGGTTGGTGCAATATAATCTGTCAGTTCATGTGTGCACCGTACAGCCCATAAATAAATAAATAAATAAACAAATAAATAAATAATATCCTCTATATAAATCAGCCTGGGCTGATCTGAACTCTGTGTCAGACACATCACAGACCCCACTGAGGGACAAGTGTTCGATAAATTCATCCCAATGTTCCTTGAGGGGAGCACAGCCAGGGAGCTGCTTCAAGGCGCTGTCACTGAGATATTTCCCTTTGAAAACCGTGGGTGGGATGGAAAACTGGGGACACTGGGCTGGTGGCACTGGGATGGAACTGGGGACATCGGGACAGGGCTGGTGGCACTGGGATGGAACTGGGGACATCGGGACAGGGCTGGTGGCAGTGGCACAGGGATGGAACTGGGGACATCGGGAAAGGGCTGGTGGCAGTGGCACAGGGACACTGGGATTGAACTGGTGCCACTGGGATTGAACTGGTGGCACTGGATGGGTGGCACTGCTGTGTCCCTGGTGCCACCTGTGCGGTGTCCCCGTGTCCCCACAGTGTCCCTGGGGTGGCTGAGGACGGTCACCTGCTGCTGGCCCTGCCCGTGGTGGCCGTGTCCTGCCAGGTGGCCCAGTGGGTGAGGGGACATCGCGGTGTCACCTGGCCACCAGCAGGGCCACCAGCGGGCCGTGGCCATGCGGGGGGCGGAGCCTGGTGTTGTGACGTCACATCGCCCCGCCCCTTTCAGGCAGGCGCCATTCCTTGGACATCGGACATCGGCTCTGGCTCTGCGGGGAGATCCAACCGGCACCGAGAGATCAAAGGAACGATGGGAAGGGTTCCCCTGAGCGATGGATGCAAAACGAGCTTTGCCTTCGCAAACAATCAGGGCTTGTGGGGGTTAATTAATTAATTAATGCTGGCATCAGCAACCCAGTGCCAGCCCAGTGTCCCCAGTCCTGTCCCAGTGTCACCAGCCCAGTGCTCCCAGTGCCAGCCCAGTGCTACCGCCCCATTGTCCCCATACCAATGTCACCATCCCAGTGTCCCCTTCCTGTCCCAGTGTCCCCACTTCCATCCCAATGCCAGCATCCCAGTGTCCCCCATCCTCTCCCAGTGTCCCCATCCCAGTGTTCCCAGTGTCACCAGTTCCACCCCAGTGCCATCAGCCCACTGTCCCCAGTCCCTTCCTGATGTCCCCATCCCAGTGTCCCCTCCCAGAGTCCCCAGTCCTGTCCCAGTATCCCCATCCCACTGTCACCAGTCTCCTCCCACTGCCCCCAGTTCCAGCCCAGTGTCCCTGTCCCACTGTCACCAGTTTCAGCCCAGTGTCACCACCCCAGTGTCACCAGGGTTGCCCCAGTGTCACCACCCCAGTGTCACCAGTCCCCCCCCAGTGTCCCCCATCCTGTCCCAGTGTCCCTGCCACAGTGTCCTCAGTTCCATCCTAGTGCCAAAACAGCAAAAAAAAAAAGAATTTATGAATTCTTCTCTCATCACCAGAGAGTGAAAACACGACATGATGGAACCGCAAGGAGAAGTGAAATAAATTGGTTTAATGCACAAGATGGCGTGGAGGCAAGTCAAGGGTTAAAACCAAACAAAAGTACGTCTGAACTCACAGGAATGTTTGAAAATAATTTATACAGAACATAGAAAAATATATGTACATTTATTTATATATATATAAAACATTAATTTTAGATATTATAATAAATTAATATATAAATATATATAAATATAAATTCTGTTGGCATAAAATATATTCTTGGAAAATATTTTTATAAAATATATATTACATTTCTATTTTATTCTATATTTTTTTAGATCAATAATATATTATGAATATGCATCAACCCTCATGAATATGCATGAGCCTCTGTGATGTAACAGTCTATAAAGAACATGGCTTAATTAATGGTGAGCTTTCGGCAATTAGCACCAGAATTTTATCCCTTAACAAACTTTTATAAAAATTTCAATTTTGACCCGTTTCTCACAGGGGGGGGTCCCGGCTGATAATGGGCGGGGGGGACAGGACTGAGCCCCAAGGGACCCCCCAGGTTCTCCTGCATGAGGTCCTGGTGACACGAGGAGCTGGTGGCACTTGAGGGCCTCCTGGTAAGATGAGGAGCTGGTGGCACTTGAGGGGCTCTTGGGGACACAAGGAACTGGTGGCACTTGAGGGCCTCCTGGTGACACGAGGAGCTGGTGGCACTTGAGGGCCTCCTGGTGACACAAGGAGCTGGTGGCACTTGAGGGGCTCTTGGTGACACGAGGAGCTGGTGGCACTTGAGGGGCTTGTTATAAATTATCAAATCGGTAGCCAAATTTATGAAAAAAAAAATAGCAAAGATTTATTAGAACAATAACAAAAATAGAAATTTCGGAAAAAAAGAAAACCCACCACAGCCAAGACAGCGTCAGTCCCGGGAACAGCGCTGGGTGACCTCAGGGTCCGGCTGACAGAGAGACAGCATTTCCCCAGAGGTTCACCCCGAGTGCGCCCCACGGCCGGCTTATATACAGTTTATTCCACCTGGGGCAGGGATGACCACATATTTCTTTGTGTTTCTTCACATGTAAAGTTGAATCCATACAGATGTAGAAACAGACAAAGGCGAACTCAGAGATGCAGACGAATGTCTGAGTGTCCAGGCAGAAGCTGCATTCACATGTACTGGTTTCTGAGTACTGCGATGAAATCATGTCCAGGTGCATGTCTCATGCGCTCCTCCAGACATTCCATTCCAGGAAGGTCCAGATGGGATCACCTGAATGCAGGAACTGGAGGAAATCCCCCATAATAGCCCATAATAGCCGGGGACCATTACCATTCATACGGTAACAGACCTGATATCATCTTAACGCTGTCCGGGAACTGGTTACAGTAAGAATAGGACTCTGTTCCCAGCCAGAGTGGTCAGAGACATAAGTTTCGAATCTTTGCAATATTTTATACACACATATATCTATATCTATAGCATGAATTAACTCTACCATATACTACAGGCTCTTGGTGACCCCAGGAGCTGGTGGCAACTGAGTATCCACAAGTCTCCCCAGTGACATCACTGCCCCAATGACATCACAGTGGTGACATCACTGTCCCCACAGCAGCCTCGGGATGTCCTCAATGGCTTCTTGGCACCTCTCGGCCACTGCGCGGCTGCCGGGGCCACCTGGGCCACCCGGGACACCTGGGCCAGCATAGGGACTCAAGAGGAGGTTGTTAATGAGCTCAAGTATCCCCAGCAGATGATCCCTGAACAGGCGGGCGCTGGCCTCCCACAGCCACTCAAACTCGGCCACCGTGGCCACCAAGTCTGCGTGAACACTGCGGGACGCCGGCTCTCCCCACTTCAGGATGAACTTGATCTCCGAGAGGTAGAACTCCATGATCCTGGTGAACGCCAAGGCTTTGTCACACGCTTCCACCAAGCGCTTCAGCGGCTTCAGGGCTGCCTCTGCCCAATGTCCCCTCCTGGTGGCCACCCTTGCCCGGCTGGTGGCCACCACAGCCTCGTCCATGGCCTCATTGGTGGCCGCTTCCTCCTCGCTGGTAGCCGCTGCCTCCTGGGCATCGCGCATGGCCCCCACTGAGGCCACCTCCTCCTCCTCCTCCCTATCCAGGGCCACCATCGACCACCGGACCGTGGAGGCCACCAGGTTGTCCCAAGCTGTCCCCCGGTGGGTGGCCTCGTCCTGTGGGTCCCTGGCTCGGGCGGGATCCATTTGCTCATAGACAACACAGAGCTCAGCAGCCTCCCAGGCCAGGAGTTTCCATCTCTCCTCCAGCGCGGCCACCAACTCCCACCAGGCCTTGGCCACGGCTCTCACATCATCCCAGGCCTCTGGGGTGGGTTCAAAGGCAGCCAGGGCCTGGACCAGGGAGGGGACACCGGAGTGGCCCATGGAGGTGACATCGCCGTGGTCCAGGGTCTCATGGAGGCTCTGGGTGAATCTCCTCAGGGCGGCGTGCAGGAACTTTGGGGACACGCGCCGCCGCACGTCCCTGTGTGACCCGGTCACAGCGGCCACCACCTCGCCCAGGGTGGCCACCACGGCCACCAGCGCCTTCAGCGACTAGGGAGGGGACAGGGGAGGTGTCAGGGACCTGGAAGCACTTGTGGCCGCCTGCAGGGGCCCCTGTGCCCTCCCCGGGTCCTCTCTGTCCCTTTGTCATCCCCTCGTCCCCACTGCCACCCCCGTGTCCCCCCCGTCCCCCACTGCCCCCTCCTCCCCCGTGCCCCCTCCCCCCACCGTGTCCTTCTCTCCCCACCCTCCTACCCCCCGTCGCACCTTTTGGTTCTCCATGCTCACTGGTGACCCGGCAGGGACGCTCTGGGGACACCTTGGGGACGCTCCGGTGGCGAAGGAGTCCCGGGACAGGCGCCGGTCCCGGCCCAGAACCGGCCCCGGCGGCGGCGCTCGCGGAAATGCCCGAGCGGGATCGGGAGGCGCCGGAAACGGCCGGAGCCAGAGGGACTGACATCACCGTCCCGCCCATCACCAGTACCGCCCCAATCCATGGGAAGCACCAGATTGGATTCGGGAGATTTTTAGGCTGAATCCCAGGGGGTTTAGGCTCCATCCCGCCATTTTCAGGCGGATTAATTCCGCCGCTCCCGGCTGGATTTATGAGGGAACGTGGAGCGCTCTGAGGAGCAGGCGGAACTTCCCTCAACCAAGATGGCGGCGCTGCTTCTCTCGCGAGATCTCTGGCGAGAAGCGGGGTGGGGGCGGTTGGGAGGGGATTTGGGGGGTCCTGAGGGAGATTGGGGGGTCCTGAGGAGATTTGGGGGGTTCTGAGGGGATGTGGAGAGTTCTGAAGGGATTTGGGGGGTCTTGAGGGGGCGTGAGAGGGTTTAGGGAATCCTGAGGGGATTTGGGGGAACTGAGGGAGACTGGGGGGTCCTGAGGGAGAACTGGGGGCGCTGAGGGGATGTGAGGGGGTTTGGGGTTCACGAGGGAGAACTGGGGAGTCTGAGAGAGAATTGGGGGTATCTGAGTGGATCTGAGGGTGTCTTGAGGAGATTTGCAGGTGATTTTGGGGGGTCCTGAGGGAGTTTTGGGGGGTTTTGAGGGGATTTGGGAGGGTATGAAGGCACTGAGGGGATGTGAGGGGTTCTGAGGGGGTTTGGGGTGATCTGAGGGAGACTTGGGGGTCTGGAAGGGGTTTGAGGTGGATTTTGTGGGGTTCTGAGGGAGAATTGAGGGTCCTGAGGGGATCTGAGGGGATTCTTGAGGGGCTTTGGGTGGATTTTGGGTGGTTGTGAGGGAGAATTGGGGCTCCTGAGGGGGTTTGGGGATTCTGACAGGATGGGGGGGGGGGGGGCTTGAGAGGGATTTTGGGGGGTCCTGAGGGAGAATTGGGGTCGTGAGGGGATTTGGGGAGGAGTTTGAGGGGGTCCTGGGGGAATTTGAGGGTCCTGAGGGAATATGGACGGATTTTAGGGTGTCCTTGGCTGGATTTGGGGCTTGTTACTGAATTTTGGGGGATCTGGACTGATTTTGAGGTGACTTTGGGGGTCCCTGACCAGATTTAGGGCAATTTTGGGGGGATTTGGGGTCATTTTGGAGTCCCTGGCTAAACTTTGGGGAAATCTCATGTGATTTCTGGGTCCCTGACTGGATTTTGGGGGTGTTTGCAGTAATTTCGGGGTGTTTTGGAGTAATTTTGGGGTCCCTACCTTGATTTTGAGCATTCCTGCTGGGATTTTGGTGTCTTTTTGGATAATTTCAGGGTCCCTGACTTGATTTTGGGGCTCCCTGACTGGATTTTGGGGTATTTCGGGTAATGTTGGGATCCCTGATGGAATTTTGGGGTTCCCTGATGGGATTTGGGGGTGATTTGCTGCAATTTCAGGGTGCCTGATAGGATTTCAGGGGTTCTTGATCATATTTTGGGGGGGTTTGGGGGTAATTTGAGGGGATTTTGGTGCAATTTCAGGGTCTCTGATAGGATTTCAGGGAGTCTGTGACTGGATTTTGGGGTAATTTCTGGGTCCCTGATGGGATTTCAGGGTATTTTGGTGCATTTTTTCAGGTGATTTGGGGTAATTTCAGGATCTGTTATGGTATTTGGATGTAATTTTGGGGTGTTTTGGTGTATCTTGGTTTGAACAGACAGGTGTGTGCTGAGGAAGGCAGGAGACCCCCGAAATGGAAAATGTGAACCACCTCCCTCTGAATTGTTATAAATTTGAAATTAAAAGGCTCTCAGGCAAAGATATGGGAGCAGGAATAACTGTTCTTAATTTGGGAAGGGAAATAAATGCAATGAAATAAAATATTAAAATTAAAACGAGTATAGAAATAAAAATAAGAATTAAGATATCAATAAGAATAAAAATAAAGTCAGAAATAAAAATAAGGTAAAAATAAAATAATCAATAAAAATAAAGTAATACTAGAGAATAGAAATAAAAATAAGAATTAGATAAAAATAAAAAAATTTAAATTAAAATAATCTAATGATATAAATAAAATGAAGAATAACAAAATAAAGTTAAAAAAAAAGTAATAAAAATTAAAAATAATTAAAAACTCTATCAAACCAAAATAAAAATAAGATAAAAATAAGAACAAAAATAATAAAAATTAAGTCAAAAATAAAAATAGCAATAATAAAAAAGGGACAAAAATAAAATAAAATAAAGTTAAAAGTAAAAGTAAGAAGAAAGCTGCTTCTCTGGGAATGCAGTGGGCAAAGGCTGCTGCAGTGTTCCAACCTCAGATTCCATCCAGGTAGGAATGCTTGGCTCCTCCCCTTGGGAGGAGCATCTCCCAACGGGGTGATGTCATCCCATCAGCCATGCAGTGATGCTCAATGGCCCATTAACAGCAGATAATTAAGAATAATGGCTCATGAACAGCAGGTAATCAATAACTTATTACTCATTAGCAGCAGAGAATTATTAATTAATGGCCCTGTCCTAGGTTCCAATATCAAATGTATTCTATCCCCATCCCCAAGAGCTTGCTGGCACTGGGAGGGGGATTGGTTTATGGTTTTTCCGTATCTCCTGTAATGAACCTGTTGTCATTATAGTGCAAGAGTTCTATTGTCATTACATTGCAAAGGTTCCATATCGCTAGAGTTTCGTGCCTCCTTGATGTCTCTTGTAGGCAGCTCCTCCAGGCACTGACTCTTCCTTGTCCTCGCAGCAGCCAACTGACTCCAGTTCCCTCAGCCAATCAATACACTCTTTTATAACACTCTTCTTATGGGCTACAGCTGTGGCCTGTTAAAATCAGGCCTGCTCCTAATCTCTAATAATTGGCTCAGCTGCAACTCTTCAGGGGGTAAGATTACTTTCTCTATTACCTTTATTTACTGATATTCTATCCCTGCATGAACCCATCAATTCAATGCACTGAACAGCAGCTCGCGTTTAAAATCTCTCTGATTGCTCCCAGCTTCCCCAACCTTCCAATCTGACACAGAAAAAGGCGTTACAGTGAAATCTTTCCAGGTCACACACAAATTAGTTTCCTGTTTGACAGCTGAGAACAACTTATCTGCCATTGTTACTAGGTAAACACAATATTGCTTTTCAGAGAAAATCAGAGCAGGGAGCAAGTGAAGCAGGCAGGAAAGGAAAAAAATAATTGTCAAAACAGTGCCAATATTTTCCAAAATAAAGCTAAAATTATTAAGCTTTTCTACTCACTAATTTTTCAGAGACAGTTGCAAAGGAAGCTCACTATCTTAGTGAGGCTTAATTATTTGAAATCATGACTCAGAGAAAACTGCCTCCAGGAGCCATTTCTGTTTGATGGGCAATCAAGGACCAATCATGACTCAGACCGCTATCAGCCCATTGGGAGATGCTCCACCCAGGGGGGAGGAGCTCAGCATCCCCACCTGGATATAATCTGGGCTTTGGGACAGAACAGGCAGCCCTTACCCACTGGTTCCCAAAGGACAAGCGCTACCAAATCGTTTCTACAGGATCACCACTTCAACGAGACCATTTCATCTGAACTGTTACCACTGCCCTAACCAGCAGGGTGTCAGGATATATTCTGACTCTGTCAGTGGTTTTATTTTGTACTATTGCATGTCTTTTGGGGGTTTTTTCCCTTTTTCTAATAAATGGTATTTCTGACTTGGAGTCTCTCACTGGTTTTACTTTCAAACCAGAACAACTGGCCACTGGCGATGGTTGTTTGGCTTGTTTGACCAATTGGATCCGCGTGTGTGTTGTGACTATCAGGCAAGGGCCATGGGTTTTTCTTAGTAGTAAAGGATGGTATAACAAAGGGATTGATCAGCCTGCTGCAATCATGGAGTCAATGCTCATTATTCCCTGCTGGTGACCGCTGCTATGAGGGACTGATGATTTTTCTTTCAGCACTGGACAGTCCTTTTTCCAATGCCCCCATTTCTTACAGGATGCACTCTGAGCCTTCTCCACAGGGGAAGCTTTCTTGGGTGACTTTTCCCAAGTTGCCTTCTTGCTAGGCTGGGATTAACTCTTTCAGTTGGGCCCCTGTCTCAAAACACCTTCCAGGCAACCTCCAGCAGTTAATCTATGACTTGAACTCCCTTTATCTTTTCTTATGTCATTTGAAGCCTGACCCACACAAAGCAAAACCAGGTGTGCTTTACCATCAACTGATTCAGGATCTAGATCAGTATATTTGATGGCAGATCTCTTCACCTGTTCAAAAATCAGTGGGTGATTCATCATAATTTTGCCTCACTTGGTGAAGCTTTGACCAATTTACATCTTTAGAGACCCCATGTTTTAACCCGCATTCCATGAGGCTTTGATATCATTTTAATTTTGCCATCTGCTTGGGTGTATTTGCATCCCATCCAGGGTTTCCAAGGGGAAATATCTCAGTGACAGTGCCTTGAAGCAGCTCCCTGGCTGTGCTCCCCTCAAGGAACATTGGGATGGCTTTATTGACCACTCACCTCTCAATGGGGTCAATAATGTGTCTGATACAGAGTTCAGATCAGCCCAGGCTGATTTATATAAAGGATATGATGAAATTAAATAATTAATTTATTAATAGGCTGCATGGTGCAGACCTGAACTGACAGATTGCATTGCACCAACCAGCAGCTACAAGGAATCATTGATAATCAACATCAGTATCAAATACCGTATCAAATTACTGGTGATTAATAACAATGTGCAAAAGGCAATACCAAAGTGCAAAAGGCAATACAAAAGTGCAGAAGCCAATAAAGAACTGCAGAAGCCAATTATTAAATTGTCATTTATATCCCAGCTCTGCTGCAGGCACAGTGGAAAGCTGGAAGCTGCTGAGGGGACTTGTTCACCCCTGTCCCTGAGTGTCCCCAGTGTGTCCCTGAGTGTCCCCAGTGTCCCTGAGTGTGCCCAGAGTGTCCCCAGTAAGGGGATCCCAGGAATTCCCATCAGGATTTGGGGCAGTATCAATGAAAATTCCCAGAAAATTCCCCAGATTTATCTCAAATACTGCACAGGGAGGGCACAGGTGACAGCAGCAATGCCCCTGATGATGTCACTGCCATGATGATGTCACAGCAGTGACATCACCATCCCTGCAGCAGCTTCGGGATGTCCTCGATGGCTTTTTGGCACTTCTCAGTCACCACATGGGCACTGGAGCTGTAGGAATCACAACTGAAGATGTTGTTGATGTCATCATGTGTCCCCAGCAGGTGAT